GGTGGTCAGGCTTCTACACCAACTATGAAGTGGTCTCTCTAACAAGACATGAGTCCATCTGGCCCCCTAAAAAATATTTACAACATTATTGATTATATTCCCCAGACTGTCTTTTCTATTCCTGAGGCCATATTGTAGTTACCAATTTGTATCGTCTCTCCTGATTTTTAATGGGTACACTTGGTCCAGTTATTTTTAGCCATGTGAAAAGCAGTACCTCAAAAGTGGCAGAAGTTAGCTTTTCCCTGATACAACTGCAGTTATACCCTTCCTACTGACTGCACCTTCTAGGAAAAGTGGCGCTGGACTTTATTTTATTTATTTATTTATTTATTTTAAAAAGATTTTATTGGGGAATTGGGAGAGGGGAACAGTGTTGGGGAATTGGGAAAGGGGAACAGACAAGTTGCTGTCCTTTTTGTTCTTCAGTCTAGTTGTGGAGGACGTCGCTTCACTTGCCCATGTTGGTATTATCATTGTGCTTTTCCCGGCTGAGGCAGTCACTCACCAGCCATTGCACGGCTGCCCACAGCAGCCCACAGCAGCTCATGGCAGCTGACGCCGGCTGCCGGCCAGCCCCACTATGCATCGCCGGCAACTCACGGCAGCCCAGCTCCAGGTTGAGCTGTTGTTCACCATCTTAGCTGTAGAGAGCACAGCATCACTGGCCCACATGTGGGATCCGAACCAGCAGTCCTGCTATTCAGAGCTGGTTTCCCAAGCCAACTCAATCAACGCGCCACTCGGCTGGTCCTGGACTTTATTTTTTAATTTGGGCAGCCTAGAGCAGGAGCCAGCAAACTACGACCTACAGGCCAGACCCTGTCTGCTGCCTGTCTTTGTATGGCCTGTGAGCTCAGAAGAGTTTTTACATTTTTAAAGGATTGCAAAAAATAAAATTAAATTAAAAAAAATCAAATAATAATATTTTGTGACGTATGAAAATTACATGAAATTTGCATTTCAGTGTCTATACGCAAAGTTTTATTGGAACATAGAAACACTCATGTGTGTACCGTCTCTGGTTTTTTTGCCCTGTAGTGACAGAGTTGAGTGGTTGCAACAGAGATTATTGGGCCCATAAAACTTAAAAATATTTACTCTCTAGATTTTTGCAGAAAAGTTGGCTACCCCTGGTCCAAAGTAACTCTTTTCCTTCTTAGGTGTAAGAATGAGAAAGAGGAAAGAATTACTTTCCTTACTAGAGACTGAATTATTTCAGAGTAATAGGGCATATCAATGAAATATTTATTAATTTATATAAGGTAATATAGAGTAATGGACAATATAGTAAGCCCAGAAATTTCTGGATAGCAGCAGATATTGCTACCTCAGCTGATAGCCTTTTAATTATATCTTTCCTTTTGATGAGTAGAATATGAGAATATATCAGTGTTGAGAAGACACTTTCCACTTGTTTTCTACTTCTGCTGGATGTGTCACCTTGTTGCACAGCTTTTGTTTGATTTTGTTTCAGATCTGGGAGGAACCCCTGTAGTGAGCCCTGATGGGCTCCCCCTCTTCGGGCAGGGGCGGCATGGCAAACCCCTGGCCAGTGCCCAGGATAAGCCCATTATGAGTCTTGGAGGGAAGCCCCTGGTAGGCTTGGAGGTCATCAAAACAACCACCCGAGCCCCCACCACAACCGAGAGACCCACCACTACCCCTCGGCCCACGACCACCACCCGCCGCATGACCACCACCACGCGCCCAACGACCACCACCACGCGCCCAACGACCACCATCCGAACCACTACTAAGACAACCACCACCACCACCACCACCACCACCACCACCACCACCCCTGTCCCCACCTGCCCTCCTGGGACCCTGGAGCGGCATGATGAAGATGGCAATCTGATAATGGGCTCAAGTGGGGTCCCGGAGTGCTCCCCTGAGGAAGGTAACTGTCTTTGTTCTAATGGTAGTTGCTGTAGGTAGCGTGCTGCGTTTCACAGGAGGGTCCCAAAGGCTGCAGGGAAGGGAAGCAGGGTGCACGGCAGGAGGGCCACTGCAGGCATTTCTAACCCCACAAGGCATGTTCAACAGTACTGTGTCACAAGGGGATGTCATTCAGCAAATTAAAGCACAGGACACACTTCCATGAAAAATTATTCACTATTTACCTAAAAGTTGAATCTAACTGGGCTCCCTGTGTTTTATCTGGCAATGCTTGTCATAACCCAAGTCAAACATTTAGCTGAAACATGGGATGTTATTAGTTTGGACTAGTGTTTTCCCAGCGTGTATTCCACTGGATATTAGTAGATTAGTGTGTGTGTGTGTGTGTGTGTGTGTGTGTGTGTGTGTGTTTCTGTGACTAGTGATGTGATTTAAACAAAAGTTAAATGAATTTCTTACTGTTGGATCATTCAGATAATTGAATAGTCTCATTGTGAATTTCCAAGTTGGGTTACTGAAGCACGTTTGACAGCTGCACACTTTTTTGATAGCTCTCCCTTTGGAAAATGCCAATCCTTGCATGGCTGGGCTGTGGTGGCAGCAGAGCCTTCCCACTGGGGAGGACTGTGCCATTTCCCTGCTTTGGGATACTCAAAAGGCTGTCCTCTGCCCCTGCCATGACTTCCTACTGAGAAAGGCCCATTCCTGCTAAAGAATGGAGCTAGGACACTTTCGGTCAGGTCGTGGTGGAGCTGGGATGTCACAATCTTTGCTGTTGAGCCCCTGTTCAAGCTGCTTTGGAAGAGGTCACCCTGCATTTGCATCAGTCTTGGCGGAGGTAAACTCATCTGCTTTCCTTCAGGTTGAAGGGAATCGCCATGTCGGCTATAAAGCTTCTGTCTTTTTAAGCTAATACAGAATGAAGACTGTTCATTTCAGCAATCATTTGCGAGCTGGAATTCTTACACAGCTCTGTTGACCATGATAAGCCCAATCAGTGTGAACTTGAATGCTGTATCCAAGATGGGAATTCTGTTTGAAGTCAGTCTTTCCATGGAAAAGTTCTGCATCTGAATAAACATGAACATTTGATACATCTGAAAAATTCACACTGAAAAAAACAAGGAAGCCTCCTGAAGAAGAGGAGGACCATTGGGAAGAACCATTGGTTCTCACACTATTTACCCAGTGAGTACAAATTGGAATTCCCTTTGAATTTCTGGTATGAACGTATTATGTACTTCCCTTGACCTCTTCTGCATACATTAACATGTTTATTTAAAAATATTGAACTATAGTTAGAATAGATATTTAATAATTGGTTGTAAATGGAAGAGTGACTATTTTGAATTTGGCTTTAATAATAATATTGGGTCGTCGGAAAAGTCATGATGCATTTTTGCAATGAAAAACAGAAAAAATACATCATGACTTTTCGGACGACTCAATAATAATTGTTATTATTAATATTTTGAATTTTCTTTTGCCTGCTTTTATATAGGTTTCATATCCTGTTCTTTACATTTTCTTTGTATTTTTAGACTTTTATTTGGCATGAAAGTCAATATTTTTCTTGGCATTCCTGTTTCTTCTTTTCTTTGCAAATCATTATACAGAGGGTGCCAAAAAAATGTATACACATTTTAAGAAAAGAAAAAACTGTATTAAAATTGTAGTACAAGTCATGTATATACTTTTTAAAAATTTCATTCATGTCCATTCTTCTTATTCCCTAATATCCAACTGTTAATAATAATTTGCCTCTAGGCAGCATTTTAAAAATAAGTACAGATCAATACAGAGTCTTGGGAAAAAAATAAGTTTAGGGAGAATAAAGTATCATCCTTAAACAATATTATGAGATACTATAATTCATTTTTTTAAAAGTACATTTGAACCTTTGAATACGGATTTGAACTGCAGGTATCCACTTATATTTTTTTCAATAAAACCTGTAAATGCATTTTCCTTATGATTTTCTTAATAACATTTTCTTTTCTTTAGCTTACTTTATTGTAACAATACAGCATTTAATACATATATAACATACAAAACATTGTTAGTTGACTATGTTATTGGTAAGGCTTCTAGTCAACAGTAGGCTATTAGCAGTTAAGTTTTTGGGGAGTCAAAAGTTGTACTCGGATTTTTGACTGCACAAGTGGTTGGTGCCCCTAACCCCCACGTTGTTCAAGGGTCAACTGTAATTTGAAAATCAGAGTCAAAGTTACTCTTGAAAATCATATAAAATAAAACAGAGTTAGCCATTTCTTGGTTGAACACCTTGTAGTGGCCTTGATGTGCAAAGCACATTCTGTAAGTGCCGTAATGACACTCAAAGCAGAGAGATGCTGTCAGTAAGAGGCTCTGCTGTCAGTAGAGGGACAGTTCAAGGCCCCCCTCACACGTAATCCACAGAACCACCTGTATCACATCCCCCTGCCTCCAGCTCTGCTCTCGAGTTTGTGTTTTGTCTCACCCACCTTCTCTTTTGTTGTATTAAGTATAGTTCAGCCCATAACGTACCCTCACAAGGGCTGGGGCTCCATGTGTACACAATCAGTATTTACCAAGTGACATTGGCTATGGCATTTTGCAACCTGGTAGCCTGAAATGTTTATTGTTGTAGTAATTATGATTCAGAGCCAGCATTAGTGATCACTGAATGAATCATCTGCCCTTGCCTCTCTGTAACCGCCATCTAGTCGACCATTTGTCATTGCATTCCACTGGCAAAGTCCCAACATTTTGTTTGTAGCCCTCTAATTTTAAAGTAATCTTTTCAGATCTCAAAATCTTGACTCCCCTGGTTAAAGCATGCCCCCCCTTTTCCTTTATGTTCTAGGAATAGCCTTGTGTCTGTCATTCAACCATTCCAGTAATTCAAGCAGTATTTATGTACTTCCTCATTATGGATGCCATTTTGTGTATATCTTCCTGTGGACATGGATGTGTATTTTATGCTTGTTTCTAGTGTATTGTTGATTTTACTCCTCTTTCTTGGTACACACACACACACACACACACACACACACACACACACACACACAGTTTTTGTTTGCTCTGACTTCCCCATTAGGTAATAAAGTCCTTGCAGTAGAGATTGTGTCTTCTGCATCACAGTACCTATGTAATTCTTCATCTTTGGGTATCTAAACAATACATTAACCTGTAGGCATTCTCCATTTTCTGAGAAGTAAAAGCCAGTGATCCTTGTCTTCCAGGTTCCATTTCTACGGTGGATCTGATGATATCATGTGTGTTTGGAAATGTGATGCTCTAGCTGAACATCTTCAACAATTTGTGACATGACCATGGGGAACATCTCAGAAAAACATCAGTCATCATGGAAAATGGTTCTATCTTGCCACAGCTCACTCTCAAGACAGAAAATACAAAAAGAATAATTAAAAATTCACCTGAGCTGGGCCAGCTGTACAATTTGCAAATACTTTTGGGTTTCAAATGGATGTCATTTATCTTCTCTCTAAAGTTTTACTGAGAATATTTTTTATAGTTTTTTTTTAATATTTCTGGAGCTTAAGCCCTAATTCTTTGGTGATATTTTGTGCTCATTTTTTTTTTTAATGACCATTTGGATAAACCACTCAAGAGAATAAACCATACCACACGGCTGGTGGTTGGTAGCTACTTGTATATGAAAAAGTGGAAGACTTTGATATTGATGCTGGGGTGACTTATAAAATATCCAGTTATATGTAGTTCCAAATGCTTTGAAATGGCATTTGGGTGGGGCAAATTCCGGTGGTCAGCTTTTAAAAAATATTGTATATATACTTCATTACATCTGGAAGTTGCTTTTATTTGGAATCAAGATGGTGCTATTTTAGAAAAACATGCCTGACTTTAGTCTTACAAAAGAAAGTGCACTAAATTACTCAGTACGATGTTTATTTTTGCCAGAAGACTTAACTGTCACTCATCTCAAGAAGTGATCCCAGTTTGCAGGTAAAAGGCATCATTTCTGGGACCTGCTGCCACTCCAGAGTATTTCAGCTCCTCAAGGAATTGCGCTTAATTCCAGGAACCCACAAAGGAAACCCTATACTTTTCCCTTTTATTGTCCACTCTGGGATGCAACAGTTGTATAATTTCATTTTTGGCCTGGCCAAAAATAACAATGAGAAGAAATGAATCTGAACTGATAATGAGGAAAAACATGACCATGTTCTTAACAGTTAAATTGACAAGGGAACGAAAATTGTATTCCAGGAAATAACAGCAAGATAACCCCAAACTTTAGGTGTTGTGAACTTGAAACTCTCTGACTTGAACCAGCCCGAAGTAATTCCTCTTGGAGCCAGCATATTGATGTTGGAATGACCGAAGGAAAAATGATGTCTAATAGTTTTCATGAGGTGACCGTCTGACCCCTGAAGGGTGGATAATTGACCACTTGTCTCTTGTTGGCATTCATTGGCCCCGTCAGAACATGCCCAGTGTCACCACTGCAATGGTGGGCACCACTGCCACCGTGGGGCTTTGCATCATCACTCTCAGAAGGGCTGGACAGGTAGTGCGAGGTTGCCAACATCCTCCATGGAGGGGTTTGTTTGGGCACCATTGCGTTCAAGATGCTATCCAAATGAGGCTTAAAAAAGGCCAGTAGAATATTGGACTGTTTCTGGGGAATGATCAATGATTTTCTGACATTGAAAAAATTCAAATTGGTGCATATAATTTTTTTAGTGATGAGGTTTATATACACTCTATTTCAATTTCCCCTTTATTCTGCTGTGGAATGATGATTCTAATAGAACACCTTAAGGTTTACAAGCAATTTGTTTGGTGAGTTCAACTCTCAGAAAGTGGAGGCGGTTTTATGAAGTATAAAGTATATGGCCTTTGAAGCCAGAGGGCCTGAAGTTCAAATTGAGTTTCAGTTCTATCCTTCACCAGCTGTGTGACTTCAGGAATGATATAAATCCTGGGTGTTAAGTGGGTATAATAATATGCCCATGTATCTTAAGGGTTTTATGTGAGGATTAACTCAAACAACATAGACATGAAAGTGCCTGATGCCCAGCAGGCATCTGATAAGCTGTAGTTATTCCTGTCTGTTCCCTACCCACTGCCTTTTAAGGGTGCATTGAATAACAGTTGCGGTATAATCGCTGTGAGCTTCAGGTCAAAAAGAGGGAAGGAATGCCTCTGAATTTTTCTGAGTTAGAAAACCTTTTGCCTCAGATTTTATCAGCTACAGAGAGACATTCTTTTTACAGCTGCATCTACACCCACCAAGTTGAGAAATAATACATTGGTTTCATTGCATCTTCTCAGAAAGACTTCTGCTCAAAGTACTTAAATAATAGAGGCAAAAATTGCATTTTTTGCTTAAAACACTCGCCTTCCTCAACCATGTTGTTATTCGTGCTCATAATATCAGTTCAGTCATTAATATAGTCATTTTAATAATGGTCCTTATAATTAGGGCTTCCTGGAAGACATAACAAAATCACATACGGAACTCTAGAAATTACATTTAAAGGATAATTCTGCAGTCATAATAGGTCTAGTGGTTTTGTAAGTAAAGCCCGACCTGCTTGTAATCATTGGAATTTGTAATCATTGGAATATTATGTCCAAACTTCACGTGCAGGTTGAGAAGTGTAATTAGTACAGATTTATCTCCTGAGTCGGGGAGAGAGGGTGGGAGGTTGGAGTTATTCGTGGAGCACAGGGAACTCACGTTGGTGTGGTTTGCCAAGTTAGAATGTAGGAGAGGCAGGAAATCAGCCTGTTTCCAGAACATGCAAGATCCAGGGGATGGAGAGAATGAGGGTGCCATGAGCAAAGGAGTCACAGGTGGAGGAGGGGTTTTGTCCCCGTGCTGAGACCCAGCTGCCCACTCTCGTCTCACTCGCCTCGCGTCTTCCTGAGGGCCTTGTTATCATGCCCGTGACAGGATGGGCCAGGGCCCTTCCCTCAGCATGCTGAGAGCTGCCTGGGCAGGTCGGGTGAGGCGCACTGACGTGGCAGGGAGGGGGTCAGTAAGAGGCTCTGTGTGGGAGGGTCAGGGGTGCTGGGGACGGGTCTTTCCCCGGCGTCCTCTCCTGAGCACAAAGGAGAGAAAGTCTGGATTCCATCTCATGCTCTGATACTCTTCCTCTGAGGAAGTTCAGGAGGCCCTGGCCTTGGCGACTTCTTCCCATGAAACGACCGCGAGGAATGAATCGTGTCCTGGGCACAATTCTGAGACAACTGCAAGGAAAGCCGGGCATTTGCTGACCCTTTCTCCCCTCCCCCTTCACTAGATGATTTCTCAGGATTAGAGACCGACACGGTGATTCCCACGGAAGAGGCATACGTTGTCTATGACGGAGGTACTGATTGATTTTAAGCACATTATGTGGACAATTTCGTTTCTGATTGGAGGAGCTTATCTCCCATATGAAGTGGATGATCTCAATTGTAATTTCTTTTAGAACTCTGGGCTGGGTGGCCATGCTTAGGAAAGGGTGGCTGTACCCATGCTGCCAAGTTACCCCCCACCAATACTTGATCCAAAGAAAAACAGTGTGCTTGATGACAACCGCAGCTTCCAAACAAGTGCCCTGTGCTCCCCATCTCTCCCATCTTCCCTCCAGAAGTTCTGGGGCTGTGAGGTCTGGGCATCCCCTTCCACGCTCTTTGTAAAACGACTTGGTTTAACCAAGGTCTCAGCTTCCTCTCTTGGCACTTCTCATTTCATTCTTCCCTTTTCTTTTCTAATTACATTGAGAAATGCAATGCTACAGATTTTGTTTTTGTCATAGAATCTTTTAAAGGAAGGGTAAGCTTATAGGATTAAGAATACAAAACGCCTTGAGTAGGATCTGAAACCATTACTTTCTAAATGGTAACTTAATGGTATTGTTATACGTACGACCCTGTGACTCGTCTGTGTGCTTTATAAGTTGTAGCTGAAGAACTTCATGTAGGCATCTTGTCCCCACCCCAGAGCCAGCTTTTGACACTCAGGATGTACCTTCATTATTATCTGTAGCTCCAATAGTCTTAGATCACAAATGTGGGAATAATGTTGCTTTTGATGCAATCATAATAAAGCTTGATGTCGTGGTTTAATCCCATAGCTTTCAAATAAAAACAGACTTAAAAGAAAACCAGCAGATGTCAGAAAGCAAAGGAAGGTTTCTTGGCAACTTTGAAAATACAAAGCAGCTTTCTTGTCATCTTTGAGCAGTTGAAAGGGAGTAGCTTTATTTCTCTAAATGCTAAAGGGTTAGTTCTCTTAAAAAAGTAACCCCACCTCCTCCCCAGAAAAAAAATCCCATACACAGATGATACATTTAAAAAAAATCAACTTTATTTTCTGATGTTAAGCTTTCATGGCTCTAAAAGGGAAAATTATTTAGGTAGAGAATGGCCTTGGACCAGTAACAGGAGTGTGCTCAACTGGGTGAATTCTAAGGCTCTCTCCAGCTTTGATCCTAAAATCTCATTTTTCTGGTCATATGTGTTTCTTTTTTTTCCCCTTCCTCTCATTTATCTGCAGCTGCTTTTCTGAGGGGTGCAAAATGGGGACAAATACTGTTTTATTAGAAACAAATTATGTTTAGGCATCGCATTTATTTTATGGTGCATCTGTAGCCTTAGAGTTGAATCTTAAGAAGGTATCTTTGACTGCAAATGTGCCCCTTTCTGGAAGTGCCCAATTACAGAACCTTCATATCCTTTCAGATTATGAATCTGAGAACTCGAGGTCACCGGCCACCACCAAGCCCTTCACCACCACTGCCACGCCCGTGGTTTTCCCACCGGAAGGCACCATTAGCTCCTTTCCCGAAGAAGAATTCGATATGGCTGGAAAGAAAAGATTTGTTGGTAAATAGAACTTCCTTAATTAGAGAAACGTAGGTTTTAAACTTTTGTTCTTTGAAGAAGAGCAGAGCTAATCTCCTGGTCTGGTCATGGTGGTACATTTGGAGCAGAAGTCTTCCCAGCGTGAAGTTTCCATTTGAGGGTTATTCGGTGACTCAGTCCTGTTTAGATGCACATGAGCTTGCTTCCTGCAGAAGTCAGGGTTGGGGAGCAAGCAGGGGGGAATGTATAAAATCAGACAGAGTTGAGTTTAGAGAGCCTGCCTTGTGTAGCCCAAGAGGAAGGAATGCTTAAAAATCATCAGGACCAGGGAGCATGAGTGTTTTTATTGTAGCCAGCTTCGCTTAGGTGAGACTTCACAGGGCCTTGTCTGCACATTGTTTCAGTTCTTCCTAACAAATGCGCAGGGACTGGATTGAGCTACTAGTACTCCTTATAGTATCACAGAGCCGAAGCTGTTTTTCTTATTTCCTATCATTATCATTAGCCCTTAGAGATTTCTTTTACTTTTTTTTTTTAGTTGTTAAAACAATTTCAAGAGGAAATTCTATTTTGCTAAACTGTGTTTCATTTCCGTTGGGAGTCTTCTTTTGCCATGCCCTTAATGAACTTCACTAATGAGACACTTAGATGAATATATTACTAAGTGGAAAAGAATAATACATGACTAAGTACAGACAGCCAACAGCTTAAACTGATATCACACCTTTCTGTTTCCAAAACAAATGTTGTGCCATAAGCAGAGAACTGCTCCTGGCAGCCAAGATGCAGCACTGAGTGTCTGAACGACGCGTACTTGAAGAACAAGAACCTCAGCTTGAGGTAGCATCCCGAGGCCAGTGCTGACGCTGGCTCATGGCGTTCAGCAGCCCGGCTGAATTCACCAAATCTGACTTATCTCAGTTGTTCCGGACAGAACTTGAAATCCTTTCAGCACTGTTATTAGCTGTTCCAAAAAACTCATCTGAAGACTGAAAGGCTTACCACTGTCTGGCTATTTGTATATGTCTCCATGACTCCATGAAGCATAGTAGATTATGCCCCAAAACTTCCTGATGAGATCCATGGGCAAGCTCTAAAGGCCTCATTTTATACAAATGACTGGAAAATATAGGAGCTAAAACTTGCTTATAGTCCACATGGACACTGAGAATGAAAGCCTGTACCAAAAGATGCAGTGGGACATTTAGAAAGTACTAGAATCTGTTCCCTGAGGGCACTTGGGAGTCTCGTGTGTATAAAGCCCAACTCTGATTCCTTGGCATTTCTCACATCTTAGAGAGCACGTGTAACGAAAAGAGCTGGGGGCTGGAGGTACAGTCTCTGGCTTGAGCCTCGTTTCATGTCTCAGGGTCAGCAGACTCAGCTGGGGGCATGGATTATTAGTTCAAGTCCTGCCTTATTCCTGGTGCTCTTGTATCCACTGAGATAATGTGTATAGGAAAAGCTTGAACCTGTCCATCAATGTGAGTAGCTATTATTGTACTGAGAGTAATGCTGTAGAGGGCTATTTAGGCCTGGCCTTGTGCAGTTGTTCCAGATGGTTGTGGGGTCCCTGAAGCCCTAGGGAAGGCCACCTTGGGACTGAGCTAGAGGCTGTATATCTTTTATTCTTTCTTTCTTTTTTTTTTAAGATTTTATTGGGGAATTGGGGAAGGGGAACAGCGCTGGGGAATTGGGGAAGGGGAACAGACAAGTTGCTGTCCTTTTGTTCTTCAGTCTAGTTGTGGAGGATGTCGCTTCACTGGCCCATA